GGAGGGGGGAAAACAGAGTGCGCGGAGGGAGTGGAAGGAAGATCGTGCGCGGGATCGCTCAGGATCGCGCTGGCCCACGCGGGAAATCGCGCGGGGGGGCGCACGGGGGGGGTGCACGGGACTCAAGGGTCGAGAACGGGGAAGAAAGAGGGGGAGGGAAGGAAGGGACAAGGACGGCGACGATGATAAGGAGAAAGAAGAGATGACGAGGCGGAGGAAGAAAGGGGAAAACGATGACGTCGACGAGGAAGAAGAGGAAGGAGAAGAGGGGGAAGAAAAAGAAAGTTTATTGGTCACTTACCTGCGCGTCGACTTCGGGACCGGTGGCGTGGCAGCGGCAACAACGAAGGCAGCAGGGTGCTGACGTGGCGATGGCAGCAACGGAAGGTACTAGGCGCTGATTGGTCACTTACCTGCGCGTCGACTTCGGGACCGGTGGCGTGGCAGCGGCAACAACGAAGGCAGCGGGGTGCTGACGCGGCGATGGCAGCAACGGAAGGTACGAGGCGCTGACGTGGCAACGATGAGGCACTGATGAAGACGATGATGACGTGGCAATGTCGGCGTCGAAGATGGCGACAACGGGGATGGCGCGGCAACGTCGATGACGAAGATGATGATGACGATGAAGGTCTGGAGCGGTGGCTGCTCCACGTCGATCAGGGCGGGCAGGAGGGCAATCGACGCCGCTCCGATACCAGTGTGACGGGGCTGAGGCAGAGCAGCGAGGTCGGGGAAGAGAGAGGGAGGGAGTGAGAGCACACACACACACACACTCACTCAACTCGACGCGGACTCGACACGACTCGACGGACATGAACACACAGTGGCAAAGTGGCAAAGTCGCAAGCTTGGTTCCGTGCACAATGTCGCAGCAAGTCACACTGAAGCACGAGCACTGAGGCTGAAAACTCAGTCCCCGAACTCAGCTTGAGTCCGGTCTTAAGTACCGGACTCGAGTTGAGTCCGAGGGCAAAAGTGCAATTTGCCTCGGGGCTGAACTGAAAATCTGAGCCTGGGTGCCAGAATGCCAGATGGCGCCAAGTACGAAATCCGAAAGTGGCAGAGGCGGGATTTGAGAACGGGCGCCAACTGCAGAGGGCACCAACAGTCAGGAACCGGAGATCAGAAACTCCAAAAAAAATAGAATAGCAGCCTGGCGGATGGTACCCCGTGGACCAGGGATCGAGCCCTGGCTGAGTCCATTAACGCCGCAGCCAGTGCTGCAGTGCCGTGACGGTTCATTTTGAACAAATTCAGCCAAGTGCGGCAAACCTGTTCATCCCAGCGCTTACCGGCGCGTCCAAAGCTGCACTTTCAGGAAGTACTGGTGGTTTACGTTATGTAAACCCATGGTTTTACTCACCAGCATAAATGTCTTCACTGAGATTGATGGTCTTTGAAGCCTTGCTCATTCCACCACGGAACATGTGAAAAATGCGGTCGAACACATCTGGATGCCCGTAATGCATACGAACCCTGCAATTCATAAATCCATATTTCATCAGATTGTGTTGACAAGTGACTGTGTTGGCCTTACCATCACTGAATGGGATCTGTGACAATCGGGAAAGAGGGAGAAACTCAGAAAAGGGAAAAAGTTCAAAAAACAAAACAAAGCACACAAATGCGTAAGATGTTGCGTGCTAAGCACTACCGCACTAGTCTGCAAGATCACTGACCAACGTAACAGTTGTTACTGTTTTTTTCCTTCTATAATAGGATAAATATTATTTTTCGTTTCTTAGACTACCACAACCTTCTTCGGGGGCTCGCTCTCCCAGCCAAAAGAAAAAAAAGGGAGCGTCACGCCGGTTCGTATCGAACTTGATGCACAGCACAAATCCGCCAGGGGCAAAAGAGGCTTGGAGGTAGTGGTGGTTTACAGAGTATGCATCATGATTCAACCTCATGATCCGTTCATTAAAGCAGCAGTTTCTTTGAACACTTTTGCTAACTTGGACTGCTGCTGCACAGTGCACACCCAAAAAAAGAGAAGAAAAAAACAAACCAGCGCGGGCATGGGCCCTTTAGTCCTAGTCCCTGTTAACGCTATAGGTTAAGCAGCACATTGGGAAAAAATGGCTGGGAAAAGAACTGGTAGTCTAACAGCTACGCCATGTGCTGAACTTTGCACATTGCAAGCATGGGATGTGACGATAGTGTGGGAAATAAGTTTTTCCCTCCCATTTTTCAGTGGAAATTGGTGTATTTTTGCAGCATTTATAAGTTTACTAGATGACCCGTTGCGGCTTCGCCCCCAAAAACAGAAAAAGAAAAAAGCACAAAAGAAAGAAAACGCATAAGGAACTGCCCTATAATATTCCGCTTCTTTCACAAAATGAAAAAGAAGAGCCTGAGAGCAGACGAAAACCCGTGTGCAAGAAAATAGCAGGGAATACCACCGAACATTCCTTTTTCTTTGTCTTTGCGTGTTTTGTTTGGGGAGCCATTACCTTCGCAGCATCGTTTTTGTTTTGTGCTGTACATGAACTCTGGACTTTTCTGAGAAAATCCAGTCCGTTGTCCCGTTGACGTTTTTGGTAAAGATTCAGAATCAGACTTTGTTTGTTGTGTTCTCTGGATATGTTTGTGATCAAGCGATCTTGCATGTATGCCCCGTGCTTGCTTGTTGATTTTTGACGCTATGTGTGCAAGTGCATGCGCGTGTGGGTGGGCTCCGATGATGTCAGTGATGATTGGCCCGGGGAAGTTGTTGGAAGGCGCCTCCCAAGTATAGGAGCGCCGCTGATGTTAAGCAGGTTTTTGCAATCAGACTCGCTTTCATTCACACTTTACATGCATGCAAACAGGTGCGAAGCAAACTGGCGACAAGCGCCCACTCGTGACTCAGAGATATGGTAGCCAAGAACGCAGTTCAGGTACAGGTTCACTTCAATGGCTATGGTGACACCACACCCACACAACTCTCTGTTCGCACACGCAGGAGGATCGCCCTGGATATCCCACATGCGATACTCTGTACACACATACACACACACACACACACGCTACTGCAATGACTTGCTGATTTCTACTGCCGAGGTTGACTGCGAGGCTGTACACTAACCGGTAGGGTTAGATTTGTAATTTTGTTTGGCTGAGGGCTAACCGAGAGACCTGCCTGTAGGGAAATTCGTGAGGGACATATCTGTAATTCTGGGAAAATATAGGCCCAGTACTAACCCGAATTCCTACAGCTACCCTAACTGCGTATAGCAGGCCCGGGCTACCCCTAGGACAGACAGGCCCTAAGCGGCCTATGCTGATAGACGGTCCTATAGCCTATAGACGGGTCCGGTAGAGGCCGAGAGGCCGAAACAGCAACGGTACTGGTCCGTCAGTCAGTCCGGTCTAGGTCTAGTGTAGTCTATAGATAGGTTAGGCCCATCGGTTCAGGACTTTTGGCAGTTCATTTCTCGTGAAGCAGCGTTGGAGAAGCCAAGCAAGTTGGTGGCGGTGTCTGTCTGCAGGCGGCATCCTGATACTCACCGTTGACAGCAGCCATAGCCGGCCCAGTCTGAGTCTGCCATAGCTGGGGCATCCTCAGCGTATCTACCCCTGGGGGTATCAGCTTATGGCCGGGCTACATCGAGGCTCTACAGTGTGTGTTCGTGGGTGGTGGCAGCCATAGCTGCCCGTTCCTTGTCAGAGTTGTCCACTGGCACTGAAGACTTCATCGCAGGACCTGTTCTTCATCAGGGTGGTTGGCGCTGGCCTCTGGGAGGCTGTTCTGATGTGGCGCTACTAACTGGGTGTAGGATAGAGAGTGGGGTGTGAGTTCTGAGAGTGGTGAGATACTGGAACAAACTCTGTTATGATAATTGTTTGAGTTGGCTCATCATCAGTGTGATTTCAATTGTTATCCTCGCAGGTTCTAATTGTGATTGGTTGTTGGGAGTTTGTCAGAGAGAGAGAAACACTGTGTGTCTTCTCCCCATCTGTGCATAGCTGTATTCCGCTGCCTACTCTGATCTGTGTGCAGTGTGGACTCTGTCTCCTCTCCCCCTTCTCTTATGCATGTATGGACGTGTATGAGATTGTCTGTGTGTGAGTGGCGGTAAAAATCGTCAGACAACCAAGTTCATAACACTACACTCTACCTACAGCTATGGCGGCTATGGCCACTGCTAACCTATCGCTATGGCTAAACTCCTTCTCGCCCACGTCGTCTTCGGGCTCACTGCAGACCACCTCGCACAAGTCGCTGTGGCAGCGCTTCCGCATGGCTCACGCAAGAATGAATGAATGGCAGGACGCTGCCCTTTGATTTATACTTTTGTACCTCGTTGGTTTGGCCCTTTCCCATGCCCGTGGCGCACACAGTCCCATGCGGTACTTGCTTGACTGAACTAGGACTGACTGGGACTGGGACTGCTGACTCAGCACGGGTAGACTCCACCACTTGCCCACTTGCCTCAGCCTAAACGTGAGCAACTTCGAAAGGCCACTACTAGGACCTTCCAGAAGTCTGGTCCTGGCCTTTAGAAGACTGTAGCAGCTACGACCTTGACCTTTCAGGACTGTAGCAGCTACGATCTTGACCCTTCGGAAGTTCTACAGCTACGACTTCTATAACTCCCTAAGACTTCTACTCGGCAGATCTACAGATCGAACCCCTACACCCACAGACCCTACGACCGACTACCACTTCTGCAAACACACCCAGGTCACGGGTTCAACTCTCAGGGTCGGCACAAGTACTGTACACAGGTAAGGTGAGGACTGGGGATCGAACCCTGGGACCTGCATTCGCTACTGCTAATAGGTGAAACCCGTTTCACTCCCGCCGGCCTAAATTCGAGGTCCTCCGAGAATAACTCAGTCCAAGGCAGGACCTTTATCTTTCTTCTCTCTCTCATACGCTCTAACTATGTCGGGAGCTGTTTCTAGAAGTTCCGTTCTAGTAAACCAGCGGTCGTCCTCTGGCTCCTGATAAGCAAATCGGACCTTATATTGTTGCTGTGGACGACCTCTACCTCCTGTTCTAAACACATCTTCACCTATGATGCCGTCGTTGTCGTACCTTCCGTCCATCTCTGGAGGAATCATGGACCTTCTAGATGGAAACTACTGACTTGTGACGCACGACAGCAACTTTGATGCATGACATACAAGGTAGGTGTGGAGGTGGGCTGGGATCTCTACCGTGTAGGACGGTCCATCCTCTCCGCACTTAACTTCTAGAACTGGCCACGGTCCTCTATAGGCGGGCAGTAACTTCTGCGAGATGTTTTCCTCGGGAGCAAACTCTTTGGACTTGACCCAGACTAAGTCGCCTTCTTGGAACTGTGACGGACGACGATGCTTATTAGCCTGTTCTATCATTCGGTGTTGGGCCTTCCTGAGGTTCTCAACAACAGTAGCTAACTCTTTCTCGTGTTGTATCGCAAACTCCCTGGTGTCGGGCGATAGCCTGTGAATCTGGTCCCGGTTAAGTCCCTCAAACGGTCTACGCGGTCTAAAGGACTTGTGCAACTCATTGGGAGTGCAACAGGTGGACAAGTGCATGCTGTTATTGTACGCACTGGCTACCTTGGGCAACATCTCGTCCCAATTGACTTGATCTGGTCTAATGTACATACGCAGAACTTGCTGCAGGATCTTATTCATCTGCTCAGTCTGACCGTTAGTCTCTGGGTGACGGCCAGATGACATCAGCAACTTTGACCCATAGACTCTCATCAGTTCCTGCCAGTTCTGACTCGCGAAGCGGGTGTCTCTCTCACTAACAATAGACAACGGGACGCCATGCTCACTAACCCAAAAGTCAAAAAAAGATTTGAATCACTAACTCGGTGCTTGCCTCTGCAGGCAAAGGCACAAAAACAACATGACTTGGCTCTTGCCGTGCCTACTCTTGACGCCGGCGTCCATAAAGTCAATGGACACCGAATCTCCTGGCTGATCAGGAATAGGCAAGGGTCTGAGAAGACCTAGAGGGGCACGGGTAGTGGTCTTATTTCTTTGGCAAACTTTACAATTGCAGACATACTCTATGCAGTCGTTCTTCATTCCTGGCCACGTATACGCATGCATCAGGTTGGCTAAAGTCTTTTGCCAACCGAAGTGTCCCTCGGTGTCGTGGCATTCCCCTAGGATCAAACTACGGATCTCCTCGCTGTTAGGGACGCACAGACGGTCTACTACGTTAGTCTTCTCAAACAACAACCCCTTTGTAGTGCGGTAATCTGGTTCAGTCTCTGGGGCCTCCTTGACTCTCTTGAGGTCGCTATAAATAGGGTCCTGCACATACGCCTGTCTAACTTTCTGCTGCAGGTCACTCCCTATATCCAGATAGTGAACTATAGCTCCAAAGTAGTCGGATCTCCTACTTAGAGCATCCGCAACTACATTGTATTTGCCTTTGATAGGCTTGAGCTCAAAGTCGTACTGGTCTATCTCAGCGGCCCACCTAGTCAACTTAGGTGTCATTTTGGCGTGTGTCTTCGGCCATCTAAGCGTCTCATGGTATGAAT